TGATGATGATGATTCGGATGATGATGATGATGATGATGATGATGATGATGATGATGGTGAGGAGGAGGAGGAGGAGGAATGTGATGATGCCAACGAAGATCATGATTACTCGAATTCGCATTGTATTTCTCTGATCCTGGCCATACCTAATAAACGAACATCCTTAGTACCCGATCGTGCTTCGGGGCTACCAGGCTATTGTATCCTGAAGTGCTGAATTCTAATAAATAGTTTATATGACAGAGGAGAAATCTGATTTTGTTTTGGTAATCACACATCCGGTGTAAGGGTGAATAAAGAGGAGCATAGGTCGAATTGCCAGGCAGATAAAAATCATGACCATCAAAACGTCCTTTTCTCTGTTTAGATTGCTATAATGGAATCCGTGAAAGTTGTCCAATTGTTATTTGAAAGTAATCGAATATAACAATAATAATAATAATAACGTTTTCAATCCAAATTTAACCGAATGCATACTTTTCACAACTTTATTTTACTCGGTTAGCTGTTAGATGACATCCATAGTCAGGGCCCTTCAGTCGTCTTCAGGTTAATTACTGAACGGCTTAGTGGTCACCAGTACAATCCAGAAAGTGTGTATCTGTGTATTCGTTTGTTCGCGCGCGCGGTTATCCTGCCTAGGTCATGTGAAACGTTACCTTGGTGACGATTTGATTTGATGGTTTTGCACGTCTTCAGGTGCCAGTGTCACTATGGTGATCATGATCGCCACATAGGCAGGTGCTAATTCGAGATCGATCGAACCATTAGAAAAAAATGATCACAAAATGGACAAGCAATAGAATGGACACTAATGAAGAAATGAAGCTTCAGTTGCTGAATGAGAGCATTAAAAACAAACAACTGATTCGAGTAGACCGATTTTGCGATCCACACACGACCACAGTTTGGACGATTCTGTTGAATTGTGGAACAATATACAACTAGAACCTGTCTTTTGACCTTGTCGTAAAACCTCGTCTGATTACACTGAATTCACTTAAAAGCCAATGAATCAGACTTGTGAGAGAGCCGACCTCTTCCTCGGTTGTGAACTAAATAAATGGTGGTCATTTTAGAGTCTCGGTGATCGCTACCTGGGCAGCTATATCTCACCTGGCGGACGCATCACAGATGGAGTGTCGGCGCGCATTCAGAAAGCTTGGTTTGCCTTTGCCAACTTGAGACATCTATGGCGCCGTCGCGACATCCGGCTGTCTGTGAAGGGTCGAGTATATGCTGCAGCAGTTCGGCCAGTTCGCTTTACGGCGCAGAGACTTGGCCATTACGGGAACGGGATAAAAATAGATTGTTGGTGTTCGAACGCCGCTGTTTACGTAGCATTGCACGAGTCTGGTGGGGTAATCGGACGAGCAATGCTGAGGTTAGGCGCAGTTTTAGGTAGCCGTGGTCGTCCACTGGGACAAGTGATCGACCTCCATAGATTACGCTGGTTGGGACATGTGTTACGCATATCACCAGAGAGGTTGCTATGGCGAGCGGTGCTTGGCGAGGCAGGTAGCGGTTTGAAAAAATGAAGGGCGGTCAAGCTAAGACCTGGCATGACGGTATGAAAACCCTGACCAGGAGACTGGTTCACATAGATCCCGTTAGGCTCCCTGGATGGAGACCCAGAGATCATGGTCACCGGTGGTTAGAGACACTGAGCGATATGACTGGGTGTCGCAAACAGTGGCGCTCATGCATCTACTCATTATTCTTGTAATTTCAGTCTATGAAAATGTGTTACCTTCCACTTAAATCTGCTCTCAACATTCTAATCCTCATTCTGCTATTTTATCCAAATGGGCAATCAAAAGACAGCAACCAAAACCGGCGCATGATTAATGATTGTAAGAACTGAGCTGCACTGATTGTCATGTGACTGGAATAGGGTTTATCATCCATTTGGTAGTGAGTATATCAAACTTCTGAGTGTCGAATTATTGTGGAGATAAAGATTCAGTCAGGGACGTATATTGATTTGATCGATACACGAGTAAAAAGTATTCACCGGTTTGGATAGGGATGCAATTAGTCCAATTGTGCCCTGACGAAAGAACAACAACAACAACAACAACACGCAGTAGACAATCTGGTGATGGTATCCTCAATCTTCCGTCTTCTGCTTTGCACGAGTCGTAAGGTCGATGTGTCCCGATCGTTTCAGATTCGTACCACCTGTACTAGGATTCGGATTATTAAGTCCATTGAAGATTATATCACATAAGCCATCAGCGTGTGCTCCAGGAAGATTCGACTATTACATTGAGCAGAATGGAGGGGTTAGTTAAAGGCACTACATCTTGCCAACTTCAAGTGAATCCGTTGTAATTTCAAGTGAATTCAACCAAACGCACTCCTTTGGAAATCCCCACAAGATGATTGGTGTTTCGGCCGTCAAATGTCACCGAGTGGACCGAGACTGCCTACCACCCTCAGTCCGAATGAACTCACTTCCCCGTAAACAAACAAAAGTACATTCATCTTCGCTGAGTGAGTTACCCAGCGAGGATGAATGTTTCGGTGGGGTGAGGTGGGCCGTTCTACCCCCCCCCTCAAAAAAAATCGCCTGTTCTACCCGGGAATCGTTGATCGAGTGTGCGTCATAGATACGAATGAATGAACCCGGAGTTAATTGACCTCCGTCGGTCGAGTAAGGAATCGAATCACGTCAAGGTGGATCGATAAGTCGGTCTCTATGCCCATTCGTGAATGTGAGCATGATTCATTGTATGTGTGGAGTCAGTCTAAGCCCAATGAGTAAATTCTATTGAGGCCGAGTTTCTCTCGAATAAAACCGACTCCTTCGGATCAAATGCGATTGCTTACGTAATTCTGACATTGAAATGCACACTTGACAAGATTCTAAACAATGGTAAAAATGGTGAAACAAGTAACAGTATTTCACCTGAATAATAAGATCGAATTCGGACCTAATTACTAGCTAACGGAAATCATATTTTTCTCTGTCATTCCTTAGCTGATTAATACATTTAATCCACAATGCCAATGGCAACAATCTATTGCCTGCGGCTTTTCCCTTCGCTACTCAGCTTCTTATCTTTATTGAATCATTCCTCAACCCGTCGCATCTTTTCACATACTGGTTACATCTGTGCGATCATTTATAGTTTAGTGAATGAGATAGGTGGTGATATGTATGAGTTACAGTTATCCATGAACCCACAAGCGATAATAACTCTGTACTGAGTATAAAGTAGAGGTCAGTAAAATATTCTACCCACGGTTGTCTTAATACTGAATGTTGAATAAAACAAAAGGTTCAGTGGCACTTTGCAGTATGTTTGTTAGGACGAAGATCATTGCTATTCGTCCCAAGATAAGCCTGATTGCATATTTTCTAATTCTGTGAAAAAAACTCGAATAATACATTCGACCCAAATTAGGGTCATCTCGGATCAATACTGATCTCACGGAGATTAGTTAATAACATTGCGTCGTCCGATAATACTCACTCTGTCCGTCCGTCTGATCCGTAGCCTATGGCTACCGGCCGGTTGAAAATTGCTCACTGTGTATTCGCTTGGTGCAATCTTTTTCTTGCATCGATTGATGTTATTTTGAGTCACATATATCATATCCACACGAGAGAGAAGGCACGGATTCCGCAGCATGGGATTTTAATAGCGTTGCACACAAGTCAATTTACAATTTACACGTATGTTTTCACTTCACCAACGTTCTATGTGTGGCAAAAGTTGTATCCGAATCCACTCGAAAGTGAAGTGAAAATCTGAGAAGTAGACTGTGCGACTGCTTCTATCTGGATGTGTCTCATCGCAAGGGCCTCATTCTATACACCATCACACTGAATGTTCCCTTAATCTTATGTTCTAATTATTCTTAGAATCTCTCTTTGGACTCTTTGAACCAATGTGTAAACACCCTATGGGATTTGTAAAAGCGAAGTCTTTGTAAGTTATATCCCATAATAAAAATTTGAATTTGAAATTGAATTTGATTCCTGTCCTAAGCAGTACAACAGTGTTTCATAGTTTCAGGTAAAGAGCATGCGTACAACATCAATGGTTCGGTGAACCTGATTGCATGATCATGAAGTCACCCAATGATCCATCAGAACAACCAAGAGCTCAGTCTTATGGAATTGTCGATTTGTTCAGTCATGACTGATCAACCAATGCTTATGTCTGCTGGTAGATAAAAAAAATTTGACAGTTCACCACTCTGGTCAAGCTCTCTCCGTGTGTCTTTCGGGTTGACGAAGGGGTACCCGTTATGACTAGTCAGAGAAAGGCACGACTGTCTGCGCAAAATGGTCAGTTTCTGTCCAACAGGAAACATGTGTATCCTCCACAAAATCACAACGGAGCACTTACCTTGTACTTTTCCACATATGATTCATTGATTTCTTTCAATCGAATATTCAGCGAATTTCCGACCAGGCCACCGAAAACCACTTTTTCCAATTTCAAAAATTCCAACGATGTGTTCATCAGATGCTGTGCAAATGTGAATAATCACAGTACCGAATGAGACTCATACGTACAGTTAAACACACAGGCACGCGCAGGCCCATACCCCTCGTCCTACGGAAATTGCGAATTAACGGTCAATGTGAACGG